GAGACTTGACGACATTGGATCCAGACTCGACATTGGGATTCAGACATTTGACGAGGGATTATTTTGGGCTTGTGCCGAAGACTTGTTGTTGACGACATTCCCATCTTCCCCTCTTCTTCATCTAACCCCCCTCTTCTTCGTCTGTGTATGATTGGGGACTGGCGCATTCTTCCTGTGTGAGCGCCAGGCCCCTTCACACCATGGAATGATGATGATGTATGTTTGGGGCTGCATTGCAACGTTGATTGTTCGGATCATTGGTATCTAAGTCTTCCGCTACGCTATCTTGTACTTTGTGAGAGAGGTCGGTTCTTGTTCTGGTCTGCACCTTCACGGTATGCAACAGTTTGGTATCGGAGCGGACCTCTCATTCAGAGGACCCGATCAATCAAGTAGCCAGCTTGCTTGATCTATTGATTGTTTATTAGTGAATCAAGTAGGACTTCGTCAAATCTCTGATTTTTTTTTTTCTCTCGCAACAAATATCTGAAAATTTCTGATTATAGCAGTTCGTTTTATCTGAAAATTCCTGATATTAGCATTTCGTTTTCACGCAACAAATATCTGAAAATTTCTGAAAGTAGCATTTCGTTTCTCTGATATTAGCATCCGAAATTTCTGATATTTGCATTCATAGCCGAAAATTTCTGAGGTTAGCATTTCGTTTTCTAGGCATATTAGGATAACGATAGAGGTGGTCGTATTCTCGGAAACCGGATTTATTCTTTTCTGAAAATCGAATCTCCATTCTATCTCCTTTTTTTTTTTTTTTTTTTTTTTGAAAACCGAAATCTTGTGAAGCCTATCGGCATTCGTTTTTAGGCATATTAGGAGGTTGTCAAATTCTCAGAAACTGGATTTATTTCTTTTCTGAAAATCGCATCCCTACTTTATTTGGCGATTTTTTTTTTCAAGATCGCATTTTTTTTTGAAAGCCGAAACTTTGCGGAACCTMGCCTAGATCTCGCTCATAGTACTCCTCTGAAATGCCTCACTCATAGCAGATCGACAGATATACAAAAAAAAAAAGGTGGGGGGTGATCCTCTTTGTTTATTTTTATTTTATTGTATTCTGTTGATTAGGACCGGGAGGAAAGTATAGCTTGGTTGGTTACCTACCTGCGTTTTCCCTCCCACCCAACCCTTTGCCTGCATTCCGGTTTGGTACAGTGCCACATCAGCAGCAATGTCAGCAGTGCCACATCAGCAGTACCATGTCAGCAGTGCCATGTCAGCAACAGTGCCACGTCAACAGTACCACGTCAGCAACAGAGCCATGTCAGCAGTACCATGTCAGCAGTGCCCCACCACCATGACGGTCTCAGTTCAGGGCATGCCAGGCCAACTGGCCAATGAGTCCATTGCCGAGTACCAACAGCGGTTCGAAGCTCAGCTCGCACTGATCGAGGCTGAGGAACAGCGTCAGGTGGCAGCCGAGGCTGCCCGCCTACAAGCTGAAGCGGCGGCAGCAGCTGAAAAACAGCGGCTTCGGGCCGAAGCAGACGCAGATACCCAGGCACGCAGCAAGGAGGCCCAGGATCTGCTACAGCGGCATGAAGCCACCAGCATCAAAAAACTCAAGTTCTGGCATTTTGAATCATCCGAGCACCACGAGGACGCGACACCGGAGGAGCAGCACAAGGAGTTTCTTGCCAAACTCGTGACCCGGTTGGTTTACACTTGTAACCACCTGCAGTCCGAGCTGGCCAATCTCCAACGGGCGGTGCGGAACCACAAGGATCTGCACGAGGATGCTACACGGGCACTTGATTCCCGTGTACAGGACTTGGAGAAAGTTGCACCAAGACCGAATGCTGGCGAGTCCAGCAGTGCATCCTCTACCCGCCAATTGGAGGAACGAGTTGACCACGTAGTCGCAATGCTCGGCGACATCAGCACCTAAGCTGCACCAGCCACCATCAGCAAGCAACTGGACACCTCGAAGACTGAGGTTCAACAACTGCACGGGCTGCCCAACAAGGATAGCAAAACCAGTGCGCAGCACTACAAGATGTCGACATTCCAAATCGAAAAATTCGATGATTATACACATTAAGACCCGGTCCCCTGGTGGGAGGGCTTTACGACGCAACTTCGGATTCTTTTCGTCCCCGAGAACTCGTACATCGGTGCGCTGTTCCTCAACTCAAAGGGCGGATGCCAGATGTGGCTCATCCACCTGGCAACCATTCACGGCATCCAGGTCGCCGATCTACATGAGAAGATCTCTTGGGAAGAGTTGACGAGGCTATGGAAGAAGCGGTTCATCGTGGATGACGCCCCGACGCTCGCCATCAACCGCCTCTTCGCCATGACCCAAGGCAACACATCGACACACGACTGGCTCACGGAATGGCAAAAGATCGCTGCAACGCCCGATCTAAAGTTGCCATTTTCGCATCTGCGCCGAGAGTTCTACAACCGGTCATATGCCGCCTTGAGCCTCGCACTTGGTGATCGCGAGCAATACACGACCTTCACCGAAATCATCGACAAGGCAAGGGAGATCATCAAGACCAACAGGGCGGCTGCACACGAGAAGTCGGCGTGGCAGCCAACCTATGTGGAGAAAGGAAAATTTGGTCCACAACGGCAGCAGGTCGCTGCAGTCCAACCGGACAACATTGTGGAAGACCCGACAACCACCCAAGCATCACGTGAGGGAGATCAGGTGGCCGCTGTCCAGCCGTGAAGCAACAACAACTCCCGAGGAAAAGGGAAGGCGAAAACCGCATCGTCGACCGAAAACGGACAGCCAGCACCATGGGTCAAGTTTCACTTGACCGAGGCCTTATACAAGTGGCACGGCCGGTATGGCTGTTGCTATTGGTGCAACAACACCAAGCACAAGACCTCCCAATGCCCGGATCAAGGCAAGGAGGATGTTCGGCCTCGCATCAACTTGGGAAACTGAGTTGCGCGGGAGGTGAGGCGACTCTACCTCTCACTCCGCCAGATTCGGCCGCCTTGCTAGCGGCCTCCTACACATCTGGGGAGGATGCGAATGTCGCAAGTCCTCGGTTCACTTACGAGGATTATGCTATCCACTTGGGCCCACCATTGGACCAACCACTCCACGTGCAACAATCCACCGCATGCACGGTTTCACCACCATCGGCAACCGGTTCAGCAGCTTCGCCGCCAACTATCGTCGGGGATTCGACGTCATGGTCAAGACTTGAAGAGCTCGACCCGTTGATGTTTGCGGACTTCCAATGGATGCCCCTTCCCCCGTCCGGTTGATTGCCGAAACCGCATTGCAACGTGCTCATGGCACAATTGCGGGATTACTTGCACACTGCAGTACCAACTCCGTTAATGGACGTCGGAGTAGAGGTCGACCTTGACGACTACGTTGCGCAGATCGACCACGAGTTCAAGACACAGCGGTACAACGACATCGACGCGCCATTGTTGTACATACGCATTCAGATCGGAGAGGCGACCTGCAACGCTTTGATCGATTCGGAGCTACTCGCAACTATATGAGCCAAGACTTTATGGTACGCGCTGGTCTTGGTCCACGCATTCAGAAGAAGTCGCAGCCCACGCAAGTCATGTTGGCCGACGGTCACACGCACAAGTCAATCGACCGGTGCATTGATGTCGTCCCCGTGTACTTTGCCCCGCATGCAAGCGAGGCCGTATCCTTCGACATTTTGGACACCAAGTTCGACATGATCTTGGGCATGTCATGGCTGCGAAGTGAGGATCACCCGGTGAACTTCTACCGCCGCATCGTTCACGTTCGTGACTGGAACGGAGTACTAGTCCCATGCACGGTGCCTCCTCCTCACCCTTCGATCAGCTGCCACGTGGTGTCCGCCGCAAGCATTCGAGTTTCCATCATCAGGGATGATATCGAGGAGATGGGTGTATGTTTTATCCATGCCCTCCCGCCTCAAGACATCCCATCGACAGACTCACCATCGGACCCATGCATCATCGAGCTTCTCGACGCCTATGGCGACGTATTCGAAGCCCCGTACGAAAGTAGTACCGGATCGGCCAATCCGCCATGAGATCATCCTCGAGGACGGGGTTGTACCTCCGCGTGGTTGCATCTACCGCATGAGCGAGGAAGAGTTAAGTGTGCTACGGGCACAACTCGACGACCTTCTCGAGAAAGGCTGGATTTGGCCTAGCTCCTCGCCATACGACGCTCCCGTTCTCTTCGTCCGGAAGAAGAACAAGGATTTGTGGTTGTGCAGTGATTATCGCAAGCTCAACGCACAGACCGTCAAGAACGTCAACCCTCTTCCGCGCATCGACGACCTCCTCGAACGGCTGGGCGGCGCCAAGTTCTTCTCCAAGCTTGACCTCAAATCGGGATATCACCAAATCGAGATCCGGCAGGAGGACCGCTACAAGACCGCGTTTAAGACGTGATATGGGCATTTCGAATGGCTGGCTATGCCTTTTGGCCTTACGAATGCCCCGACCACATTCCAAACGACTATGACAACGGAGTTCCGACACATGCTGGATAGATTCGTACTCATCTACCTCGACGACATCTTGGTGTACAGTCGGAGTTTGGACGAGCATGCGGAGCACCTGCGCACCGTTTTGGAGCGGCTACGACAAGCCAAGTGCAAAGCCAACCGCGACAAATGCAAATTCGCGCGGCAAGAGCTAGAGTATTTGGGACATTATGTGACGCCGCAAGGCATCCGTCCGCTTGCGGACAAGATCGAGGCCATCCGCGTATGGCCCGAGCCCACCAACACCACGAACGTTCGTTCATTCATGGGGTCACTGCTTCATCACCGGGTACTCAAGGATTGCCGCACCTATGACGAGATTACAATCGCCAAAGGTGTCATTCATATTCGATGACGACGCACGCTGGTCATTCCAAGCACTCAGAACGGCCATGCTCATGGCACCCGTCCTTAGCATCTACGACCCCACCCTGCCAACGAGAGTGACAACTGACGCTTCCGACTATGGCATTGGGGCAGTCTTGGAACAACACGACGACGACGACTGGCACCCCGTGGAGTATTTCAGCCATAAGGTACCTCCCATCAATTCACTTGATGATGCAAGGAAGAAGGAGTTGCTCGCATTCGTGATGGCTCTGAAACGATGGCGACACTTCCTCCTTGGGCGTCGTAGGTTCACATGGGTCACGGACAACAACCCATTGACCTACTACAAGACGCAAGATACGGTGAGCAGCACGATCGAACGATGAATGTACTTCATCGACCAATTTGACTTCATACCGAAACATCTCGCCGACCTCTCCAATCACGCAGCAGATGCACTCTCGCGAAGACCTGATCTTTGCGCTATGACACATCATGCCTTCGCATTCGACGAGGAACTCCAGCAACACTTCATCAGGGGCTATGAGTCTAACCCGGATTTCGCCACGTTGTATGCGCAGCTATCTTCGGATCACCCGCCGACCAACCACTATCACATTGTCGGCGGGTACTTGCTTCTCCACTCGCGAGGCAACGACTTATTGTGTGTTCCACGCGATCGTCGTCTTCGGACTCGCCTTCTCGGTGAGTACCATGACTCGCGACTCGCCGGCCATTTCGAAGTCAATCGCACTATTGCACGACTTCGACAACGATTCCAATGGTCCGACCTCATTACCGATGTCACTCGGTATTGTGACTCTTGTGAAGTTTGCCGGCGAAGCAAGCTCCGCAACCGCAATTCCTACGGCGATTTGCACCCGATGCCTATCCCACGGGAACCCGGCCTCTCCATTGCCATGGACGTCACTGGTCCATTTCCCCGCGACCGCCTCGGGCACGACGGCATCCTCACGGTCGTTGACCGTTTGAGCAAGTATGCGCCATTTCTTCTTTGCAAGTACTACGCCATGACTCCTGAACTTGCGCGCCTCTTACACACCGGCTGGATTTGCAGCCACAGCGTACCAGAAGACATCGTCAGCGACCGCGACACTCGCTTCATGTCGGCATTCTGGACTTCTCTCATGCAGGACTCCGACACGAAGATGAAACCAAGTTCGACTCGGCGTCCACAAACGGACGGGCAAACGGAGCGGGCACATCAAACCGCTCAAATGATGCTTCGTACGCTCATCCGTCCGGGTCAGAAGGATTGGGTTGACCGCCTCCCCGACATCGAGTTCGCCTACAACACTCCTTGCATCCAGCGATTGGCGTGACTCCATTCGAGTTGCACCACGGTGGCCGGAAAGACCGTATCTTCGTTGATCTTCTCCTCCCACGAACAACCGACATAGACGCTGCTTGCTCCCCCGCTTCTGTCCGGAAGTACAGGGAATTGCTGGCTCAAACCCGCGCGAACATGCAAAAGGTTCAAGTCCGCATGAAGCAGCAAGCCAACAGACGTTGCGTGGCATGTCCCATCTGCGCCGGTGATCTGGTGTGGGTCTCCGCGAAAGAGTTTGCACTCGAGCAGGATGTTTCACGCAAACTGCTTCCCAAGTGGTTTGGACCATGGCCCGTAACATCAGCCGCAGGCGATGAGCCCGATGACCCCTCATTTGTGATCAACATCCCCCCGCATCTGACGGTCCATCCAGTCTTTCACGCCTCAAAGCTGGCGACATATACACCAGCCAAGAGCGACGACTTCCTGGGCCGAAGATCGCAAGATCTTCCATCTATGGATGGTCATCAGGAAGTTGACTGCGTCATCACGGATCGCAAGTATGGCAGCAAGCCTCGACAGTACAAGGTTACATTCAAAGCATGCGATCCAGACGACACTCGATGGATTTCAGGAGAAGATTTGAAAACATCCGCACCGCTGATCTATGCTCACTACGAGCGACAAAGGTTAGCTAAGGAAACGTCACGACCTGCCCCTCCCACCCGGACTGTGGTCCCTCCCTCCGACAGACAGCTTCGCCCTCGCAGGTAAGCTCGGTCTTTCAAGGAGGGGGGTGTGTGGCATACTGTGCAGCCACACGGGCCTGCAGGGCAGCCTAAAAGCCTGAAAATAAGGGCTTACATGTGTCGTTTCGGCCTGAAAGCCTGAAA